CTGGACCTTTGCCTTGTACCTGGATTATCTCTCTAGTCTCGCCCTGTTGGATTACGTTCGTCGTCGACTGACCCTCGCTTGTTTACCGAACTGCTCTTGCCTTGTCTTCTACATACCAGTTTGCCATTGTCTGACCTATGCCTGTTTCTGACCACGTCTTCTAAATAAATCTTGCAAATGGATCCACACGTCTCACGTCTCATTCGTCCCGTAACAGAATACTCGGCCGCACAAGGATCCAGCAGCTGTTCAAGTGGACATGGGCCAGGTATGGACACCGCAAGGATTTTATTAGCCCTTAAACAAGACACGCGATCTTTGGAGACTTATATTCGAGAGTTTGTAGCCATTGCTTACTACTCGGATTTATCGGACATTATTTTAATAGAGTTTTTTTGTGATGTCGTGAATCAACCTCTTCAGTCAAAGCTTAGACGCGAGGGTCCGCGTTCGTCACTCAGCCAGTTTTTGGATTATGCTTTGTTGACTGTTGGCTCTCTATTCACTGTGTGTGTCGCGGAGGAGAAACGTGATATCGCGTCCGTGCCGGTAATGGCGACCGTGAGATTTTGTCAGCCACAAGCTCATGGACATTCAAGGGTACTGATCGCTACTCCGGTGATTCAACCCATTCGTGGAATGGTGGCTGCACCGGAGCACGCTCACATAATGGCTGCGACAGCGGAGCCTGTTCACAAAATGGCGGCGACTAGAACGCCCAGTCATGTCACTGCTGCCCTTCATGAGGCAAGTCAAGTCACAGTTGCCCTTCATGAGTCAAGTCAAGTCATCGCTGATCATTCTGAGTCAAGTCAAATCTCAACTAATCTTCCAGAGCCTCGTCACGTCACAGCTGATCTGCCAGAGCTTCGTCACATCTCAGCTGATCTTCCAGAGTCACGTCACATCACAGCTGATCATCCAGAGTCACGTCACATCACAGCTGGTCATCCAGAGTCCGGTTACTTCCTGTCTGCTGCACCAAGAAGTCAGAGGTCAGTTCGTTTGCACTCCCAGCTGGTATCTAGCATGGAGGATCCACCGCTGGTGTGAGCGGTCGCAGCTGGTATCCCCAAACCCACTCACTCTAGCCCACCTGTTCCTGAACTAAGTCCCCTGTCTGTAGCGCTACCCATTATGGGAATCGCTTTATGGTGTATTTGGGCTGCATACACCACCACTCAAACTCTAGAGACAGCGGCGGCCACTGTGATGTTTCCAGAGGTGGCGGCTGACGCTGCAGAACCTCCCGAAGTAGTGGTGTTCGCTGCTGTTGTCCCCGAGGCGATGGCACCTGCCGCAGCTTCACCAGAGGTGGCAGCACATGCTGCAGAACCTTCTGAGGCGGAGGCGCTCGCTTCAGC